CCAGATAGAACTACTGCCCGGGAGACCACCACCTGGGAAGACTGCCACCTAGTGGACAGCTGCCAGGAGGACTGCTGCCTAGGGGCACCACTGCCCGGGAGGACAGCTGCCTAGGGTACTGCGCTCGTGAGCTGTGTTGGGCCGGGCAGCCTCGGAGATGGACAAGCTGAGCACTCACATTGAAGAAGTTGGTCTTGTTCCTCTCGCAGAAGAGCCCTTGTGCAGGCATGTGCTGCAGCCGTTGCCACGGGATACTGCTGCCTAGTAACACATCGCGGGCCCACTGTGGGTTCTGGGGAGACAGAAGCAGGCAGAGGGTGAGTGTGGGTGGTTGGTACCACCCAGAGAAGGCAAGGTGTCTATGGTCTCTCCCACAGACAGCCCATGCTCTGCTCCGAATGCTGCAGGAGGCTCATTTCTAGAGTCCATTTCACCAAGTCAGCCTGATGGGAGTTAATATGGCTTCAGGCAGCCACCAGAGGCACTGACTGGGACCCTACAAACCCTGTCCAGTTTCTGCAGGAGTCCTACACTCTGCCTTACACTGGAGGACCCTCTGACCCAAATGGCAGGTCAGCTCATGTGTGGAACCCCTGGCCACACTCCTCACTGCCAGCAAGGTGTGTCTCACTAGACTGGAAGGACGCCCCATGGGACGAAGGGCCTTGTGCTGCCAGGTGCCAGAGCTGGGATCTGGTAGTGACCTCAGGGCTGGGTCATGAGTGAGTTTTCTATATCCTGTTCTGGGCCTTGGCAGAGGCTTCCCAGAGCCTGGATAGGATGAAGTATGCTTGGGTACTCCTCAGGGGGGGATAGCACGAGGACTACACCAGGGCTTGGAGGCCTGTCCAGGCTGCAGCCCTGCCTTCCTGGGACCAGACCTCCACCAGAGGCACCCTGACCCTCAGTGTCACACACTCTCTCCTGAGCCCTGGTACCTGCCCTGGGTGCCTGTCCCTCCTACATGGCACACCTTAGCTTCTCTGATGATTTGCACAAAGACAGCTATCCCACAGAGGCCGAATAAGAGGCTTCTGGGGTCTTAGGAACTGATCACTAGGGTCTGGTGAGTACAGTGTGCTGGCCTGCAGACCAGCCTGAAAGGGGAGCGACCCTCCAGATGCCACCGCTCCTGCAGAGGGTACTGCCCAGCTCTCCAGCTGCTGCCAGAAAGAGCTGGGCCTGAGGAAGTGTCCAGGTGGCTTGGGGGAACCCTAAATAAGTCGTGCCTGAGGCCTGGAGGTGAGCTTTCAGGGACTCCAATGAGACTTGGGGTGCAGCTGGGCTTGGGCCAGCTGGGCCTTGACAGGGTGGTGGGCAGAGGGCTGAGAGCAGCCCTCTTTTGAGTGCCCAGTACGAGGTGTGTCATCAATTTGGCTCAGAGCCAGGAAGCAACAGAAGCCTGCTCTGCCCAGTCCCACCACCCCCTGCCCCGTGCCCGCATGTGCATGGAGCCCCTGTAACCCACATGCATGCCCCCAGAAAAGGGGCTGCCCAGCCACCACAGGCAGCAGTACCAAGGGTGCAACAGCACATGGGGCCCAGGCCCCAAGCCCCAGGCAGAGGGACACCCTGAAGAGAGAGCCTGAGTGAGTCATGATTTGGAAGCATGTGGGTGCATCTGCAGTGGGGCCTAAGCTAATTCTGCAGGGGGAGGCGAGGGCCATCACAGACATTATCCAAGCATCTGTGCTGAACTGCAATGGGACACTGGGCTCCAGGCAGGGTCGGTTTAAGAGGCCCAGGGCTTTCAAAAGCCCGAGAAGTGACTTACATGGCAAGCCCCTGTGATGCTGCTGAGCACTATTAAAAACAATTCTGGCTAGAGCCTGGTGAGAAAAAAAAATCTGTGAAAATGAGGACAAATCAGAAGCCTTTATATGTGAGGGGTTTTGAAAAATCACCCACACACCAGGGCAAGATGCGTGTCCACAGAACACCTGAAAACACCTGGGGCTGATCTCCCAGGTGCAGTGCCAGCGCTGTGCGGTATGGAAAAGGGGTCCCAGCCAAGTGTCATCTGTTCTCTGGAGAAACGCGAGCTGAGGCACAGAGACTTGAGTATGACGCTCAGCCAGGAAGGCCATCCTTGATGGGGAAGGGTGTTAACAGGTGCCTTCAACAACATCCACCACCCAGCACAGAGGAGACAACATAGCATCACTCATGAAGACAGATGGGCATAGAAGACAGAGATGTACGATTACACAGCTAGCATTACCAGTGACAACAGACGCCAGCCTAGGCGTGAACCCACAGGCTGACAGGCAAGATGAACAGGTCCCTATAGGTGAATGAGACTACACCCACACCAGACAGTTTCTCCAGATGGCATTTCAACATATGTATCTGTAAATGCTGTAAACAGATTCATGCACATAGCAGACAGAGCAAATGGGGCAAAACTGTGACAACTTAGCTATAACCAAACATCCTAGAGAAACAGGTCACTGAGCTGAGGTGCTCAAGACCACAATGTGGCGAATATCAAGTCAACTGGCATCAAAACCCTCAAGGACATGGTCTACCCTCCTACTCTGATGGTTGGCAATGTGGAATGTTAAAGGCTCGTGAGCTGTCACCCAAGGTTCAACTACTTATCTTTCTCCACCTGGAAAGAAGAGTGAAGGAATGGCAAGATTATGAATCCAAGTGACTAACAGATGAGATGAGCTGCTGTCTCCTTGACCCGAGACCAGAAAGGGCAGGTGGTGCCCACTAATTGCTGCCCACCTGACAGTACAAATCACTTCCTTTCAGTATTGTTAGATTGCAGCCTATGTCTCCAAGGATGGGGAAAAAGTACAACAAAACTCAGAATGAAAACCCTCAGGCTTACTGTTGTGGCAGCGATTTGCAGAATCCCAAGGACTACAGTCCTTCATTAGGCTTCATGCCTAACACGGCCACCACCATGCCTCAACATTCACCCCAACAAAAACACACACAACACACACACACAGAGTGATTGGCATGGTCACCACCATGTGTCAACATTCACCCCAACACACACACACACACACACTGATTGGCACGGTCACCACCATGTGTCAACATTCACCCCAACCACACACACACACACACACACACAGTCGTATCAGGTAAACTCAAAGAGCCAAAAGAAGACACAAAGAACTAAAGGAAATAAGAAAAGTGGCGTTCATTAAAAGGAGACTTTCAATAAAGAGATAGAAATTATGAAAGGAGCCAAACAGAAATTCTGAAGCTGAAAAGCACAGTAATAGATGCGTTCAACAGCAAATCTGACCTGGCAGAGGAAAGAGTGAGCAGGCTTAAAGACAAGACATTGAAATCACTGAGGAGCAGGAAGAAAATAAAGAAAAGTAAAATGAAGCCTCAAGAACTTAGTTCGTCTAACACACCAACTAAACATGTTATAAGACAGGAGAAGGCAAGACAGACTATTTGCAGATAAAATAACTGAGCATTTTCCAACTTCAATGCAGGTATGAATATACACATAAAAGCAGCTCAATGGACTGCTGTATACTGCTGAGTCAGAACTGACCCATCGCTGACTCGCCAGCAGGTTTTCAGAGGCAGTTAATCGCACGGGAGGAGACCGTCCATCCTTCTCCGACGGAGCAGCTGGTGGATGCAGCGCGGCTTCTTACCACTAGGCCACCAGAGGCAGGATATACTCAAAGGAAATCCACCCTGAGGCAGATCATAATCAACCGTAGAACCCAAAGAGAATCTTGAAAGCAGTAAGAGAAGTGAACTGTCAGGTACAAGGGATACTAAACAACTTTAACATCTGATGTCTCAGAAGAACCAACAAAGTCTAAAAGGCAGCAGGGTGAAATACTTAAACTACATGGGGAAGTGAGGGGAAAGGGAAATAAAACATCTAAACACAAAAAAGAGCAAAAGGAAGACATTCCCAGATGAATTAGAGCTGAGAGAGTGAATGAGGTCAGACCATGAGGTTAAAATGAAGACATATAGTAAACACAACCCACAAGACAGAATAATGACCTCCGGTAAAGGCAATTTTTTTTAAAAATTTTTTTCCTATATTTTATTAATTTTCATAACATTTACAGAGATTTTGGGTTTCCATTCATTCATTGTTGCACTATTCTCTCTACCCTCCTCCCAGTTTGTTCTTGTCCAAATGCCACAGTGCTTGTCAAAGCCAGTTCTGATTAATCTTCTTTGTCAGTATGTCCTTTGCCATTCCCTATCACTCCTCCCTGAGAGAGACTTCACCCTGAGTCATAAGGAAAAGGGGATGGCGTATTCTCTTAGCTACTTCCTGCTGAAAAGGGACGCTGTGGGTTTCAGGGTGAAGATCTTCTCTCACTACTCTAAAGGGCCCCTTTGGCAGTAGGAAACACATATATTATGGAGATTGATTTTGGAATTTAGATGCACTCTTATTGATTGTGCTTGGCTGTCGGTAAAGGCAATTTAATCAGAAAATATAAAAGCCTGTTCTACTGTGTTTTTGGTTTGTAAATGTACAATAGGTACTAGGCACATATGGATGAAAACATGCATTGTGACATCAACAGTAAGGCTGGGAAGTTATAAGAAAACAGTTACTGGCATGGAGAAAGATGGCTCTCATTGCAACTCACAACCCCAGAAACCCAGTATAGAAACCCTGTGAGCTGGAGTGAACTTGAAAGTTGTGAGTTTATTGAACCTGGTATCAATTTCAAGGGGGGAAAAAATTAAAATACTGAATTTATTTACAAAGTTTGAATACATTGGTTTCCACACCAGGTCCTTCCTGTTTCCTTCACACATACACCCCCCCCCCATAAAACTGTAAGAGTCTATGATTAACTCCCATCTGCCCTCACCCCTCTGCTTCTATCCTCCCCTCCTTCGATCCTCATATTCATTCTACAACAGTTTTATACAGTATTTGTCCTTATGGGACTGAGTTAGTTCACGCAGCATTAGGATTGTTAGAAATGTTAAATGTACTTCCCACAGGAAACATCAAGAAACATCTAAAAATACACCAAAAAGAGAGGGAAAAGAAAGCAAAATATTGGGGGGGGGGAACCAATTACACAAAAGACTAAGATGTAAGACATAGAAAACAGCAGAACAACAGAATCAGGTATTTACCTCATTGATAATTTCCTTGAATGGAAATGGATTAAACTACAGCAAAGACAAAGAGTGGCAGAATGGTAGACCGTCAATGAAATGGGTTGACACAATGACTGTAACAAGGGGCTCAAGTATGTCAGAGATGCTGAGGATGGCACAGGACAGGACAGGGTTCAGATCTCTTGTTCAAAGGGTCACTGT